CCGTTTCAAAAAGCTAATAAATCAGAAAATAACATTATTAACTTCTTTCGGAATATTAATTACCAATAGGTGTTTGTTAAAGAATTTTATACACTAAATACGACTATATTACTTTTTCTTCTATCGAGAGAGTGTTACTGTTTGCAACAATCTTTTTATCAAATTATAATTTTCCGTTGTTATCGACAAAAATTTGCTCTATTGCACGATGCAAATTTTTGTTTTCCTAAGTTCACAAATTTTTATATAAGTTAAAAAATATTTGTAAAAATATAATCATAATTTAATACATATATAGATATAGATATATTTATAATTTAATATTAAATTATACTATTTTATTCATGAGAATTCGTAGAACATTTTCATCTTCAAAAGCAACACATTTCTTTCGATAACAATGTTTAGGGAAAAAATAATTTATATATCCATATTCAGCGTACAATAATCTATAGAAACCATCTATTAAAAGGTGTAAATTCAAATATGTGACGAACAGTTAGTTTAGAAAGAAATATACGATTCGTTTGAATTACCCTTTGAGTTTGAACTTCCATTATCTGCCCTACTGCTTCCCATCTATCCTGCAGGTTCTCAATATCTTGCAATACGGTAACACACTCGGTAGAAGTACTCTGACCCTCCAACTCTTGGACAGACTCTTGCAAAGTAGTTAGTTTCTTCTGATTCGCGTCCATCTCTATTTTTAATATCTGCAATTTCTTGATTCTCTCCAATACTTCACCAATCTCGGACGCCGGGTTCGCTTCCATTTGTTTCAGAGTGATCTCAGTCTCATTCAACCATGAGACTAGCCTTTTGTAATCGTCATTTATATTCTGCCAAAGCTGCGAAAGGGATTGCAAGCGCTGTCGTTTCTCCTCCTTCCATTTGCAGATATGTGTCCATCGTTCTCCAAGAGCGGACAATTGGTCCTCCATTTGGGTGTAAACCGCCTCCGAGTTTTCCTCGTCCACGACGACTACCATATTCCTCATACCATCGACAACTCCTTGCTGCGCCTGGATATCTTGCTCTAATTCACTTAATTGTTTCAGATGTTCGTCCAAGGCAGATGGGTTCAATTCAGCGGCTGCCATTCGCGAAATTCTATCCTCGGTTCTGGTTAACCATTGTCTGAGGTCGTCTAACTGGCCTTGCTGCATCTGCATCAGGACCTACGAAATGTTCACAAATTAATTTATTAAACATGTTTATAAATAACACTACCGGTATATATTTATCATAACTACCCTACGGACTTGTATTCGAAATAAAAACTGTCCACATTAATTGCAAAATACAGAAATCTCATTGGCATTTATTTTGTTCTTTAATTATTTACAACAGTATTCTGAAGTTTCTTACATGTTTCTACTGTATTGTATTTGATCTACTAACTGTTCTTATAAATGTAAGATACAGCCATTTCGCTTCGTTACTGATTTAGATGTGTAGGACAAGTTTTGTAAGAAGTGTAGAATTAAATTTCGCTATCTCCCAGAAATTATGGTCAAGTTTTTTTTTAGCCATAGCATTCAATAACTCCCATACCTCATGAATCTTAGTTTGCCTCTCCATTGCCCGCATGCGAAGTCCTTCCCATCGAGAATTCAACAACGACATCTGAACACGAACTTCGTGTTCCTCGTCTTTGTGTAAGCCGCCTTCCGCTAATAGTCTTGCACCTTCCTCTAGCACAGCACCGACCCCGTCCTGATGTCCAGACAGTTCCATCAAAAAGGTCTCGTGTTCATGAAATTGTTGTTTCAGCACTTCCAAGCTGGAGCCTGGTTCCGGGGCATGATTCAGTTTATCTTCCGCCTCCAAGAGCCAAGTTAAAACTTCTTCGAGAGCAACCTGATAACCGCCGAGTTCCACCGACACGTTCGTGGCCAAACTCATCGGTCTTGATGCCGGTGCTCCAAAATTCGTAAAGGACAATGGATTCTGTAAGCGAAAGTATCAGAAGTTTCGGCGATGTGCACGTAAACATCGTGTGTGTAGTCGTTTCCCATCTATCGATGCATGATTATTATTAATGATTTCTACCTCGGCCCCTGGCGTTGTCACTGGACTGCCATCACTCGCTACCGAAAGGTCTAACTCGCCTATGTCATCTCCAGAATGAGGTAACGATTGGAAAAGGCACATAACGTACATCATTATGGATTTCTTGTCTGGCACGGATGTATTTACGTCTGCGAAAATATATAAGTATAATTATATAATTATATATTATACCGTGCTGTTAGTCTTCTATCATTCTTCTTTTACAAGAATTCCTTAGCTAAACTCATAGTCGCTATATTATAAATAATGCAACCATAAACCTCATTCCCCGGGTCCCTAATCCGAAATATCTTTGATAAAATCGGTATTTAAATTCTAACATACGATTTCGTTCGTGACGCAAATTGCCGTATGCTGCCGAAGGATTAAATACATTGCCTATCCGTTTATTTCCGTTTCCTTTGATTTTCAAAATTCTTTGAAAAAATTACTGTTATTTCGAACTGTGATGTGCGAATTACTATAATGTGCTATATTACTATAATTCATTTAAATGCTGTTAAAAGAGTTGGACGTTATTCGAATAACATTTGGAATTAAAATTTTATACGAATAATGACCAAATATTAATCCCTCAATATTCTTTTTCTGGTTACGAAAATTCTTTGAAGTAAAAATACTTCCTCGCACTGGAACCAACTATTTAAATGTTACTATATGATTAATTAATATATAATTTATATAATTAATATATAATTATATATAATATATATAATTAATAATTAATAATTATATATATATATATATTATATTATATATTATATAATAATTAATAATTATATATATTATATATAATTAATTACTATATGATTAATATCTAATGATTCAAATTACTGGTTTTACCGAGAATATCCCATTATCACTTTCCTTTTTTCTCGAAAAATTCCTTATAAAAGTACACTTGAACTTCACTATCGAAGTATTACTATACTATGAACAACGATGTAATTTACCCTCCGGATCGAGCAATCGTTCGATGCCCAGATGCTCCTGAGCAAATCGGAACGCATGGTCCAGCCTAGCATTAGGATGTTTGCGGGCGATATTGTTGAAATCGAACAAATGTGGTTTCCTTCTGTGAAGAATCGCATTGAAAGCAAGACCATCGGACCAAGACGTGGTGAAATTTTTGATATCGACTCCAGGATAATTCTGAAAAATATCAAGCAAAGAAATCAGATTTGCTATATATATACTAGATGTTCCATTTGCTTTAATTAACCCCTATACGCCAGATCATACAAGAAAACCTAGTTATGCTCGATATAATTTATTGGTAACTATACCACAATATAATAATAAATAATATCTTATAAATAATTTTTTATTAACATATTTATACGACAATAAGATTATGTTAACGTTATAAAATGAAAATGTCGTTAACATTGCAACGTTATCTTCGTATATATATAATTTATTGTAACTATACCACAATATAATAATAAATAATATCTTATAAATAATTTTTTATTAACATATTTATACGACAATAAGATTATGTTAACGTTATAAAATGAAAATGTCGTTAACATTGCAACGTTATCTTCGTATATATATAATTTATTGTAACTATACCACAATATAATAATAAATAATATCTTATAAATAATTTTTTATTAACATATTTATACGACAATAAGATTATGTTAATGTTATAAAATGAATGTCATTGACATTGTCGTATGTCGTCGTTAAGGGGTTAAATAAAAATGAACGCATATATTTATCATCATCCCCGAAGTTTCACCTGTGAATTTTGACGGCACCACGCCAAAAGCGTCTTTTCTAAGTTCGTCTGCTGCAGCTCTGTCATGAGATCCTTCAGATGATAATGGACCTGGGATAGATATAACGTAATTACGTACACAAAACGAAAGAAGATCTATTCGACGACTAGCGATGAACTCTATCCTAAGGCGAACGAAATAGATCGTGAAACTGACCTGCCAATGTAATATAATACTCCATACTAATCCCAATGTTAGCTTAGGATTACCATCGACGATATCGTTGCTACTGATATTTACAAGTTTCACCTAAGAATTACACGAAAATCATATTAATATATAGATCAACAATCTCGCGACGGTTCGCAGTCGTTGACTTACGTTGTTCTGTTCGAGGATTTGCAATGCTTTGTTAACATTGTTAAGGTGGTGCACTCTCATACGGCCGCGTTCTCTTTTCTGTAAATAGAATCATTTAATCGTGTAAGGAAGGATGAGTCAATCACGAACGCGTCTACGTCGCTTAACATGTCTGGGGTCATCGCTGAAAGAGGATTTGTAAATCGCACGTTTTATAAAAAGAAATGAAGTCGGCATGTATCATCTGAGTACATAAAAACACCTGCGGAACGGGTTAAATCGTTGGGGCAACACGCACTTTTCGCTCGACATGCTCGCACGCCCACCGTGCATAGATAATCGTCGCTCTTATGCAAATATTCGTAATACCCGATACGCGCACCTGCCTAGAATTCTCTTAACGTGGTTCAGAACTACTCGGTAGGACGATCAGAAATAAGACGAGTACCGGAATGCTCGAGTGATTACATCAAACACGAAACAATTAAGATGCAACAACGCGAGAAGATCGCACAATTATTCATTCATGGTGAGTATACTTACGTAAACACCGACTCACAGATTACGCTAAATTATATTGCATACAAATATATGTATTTAAACGTAATTAGTATACCGCAAGGGAAATGTATATACATATGCTAATAACTTATATTGAATACGAATATATTTAATCGCAATTAATATTTATCAAAGGGAATGTGTTTAACCATATGTATACAGGGTGTCCCAGGTTTTAATGTTCAAACTTTGTCAGTATATTCTATGGCGCAAAGTAAGAAAAAAATGTTACGTAAACATAGGTCATACAGAGCTTTATTAAGAGGTTGTAACAAAAATTCAGGATAGGAATAGTAATCAACTAAAAAGAAAAGAAAAAATAAAAGAAAAATCTTCGATCGATGTCAATCATGTATTGTCAACAACGGTTATTAATACATTTCGAAAAATGTGAAATTTTCGTTATAACTTCTTAATAAAGCTCTATACGACCTATGTTTACATAACATTTTTTTCTTACTTTGTGCCATAGAATACACTAACAAAGTTTGAACATTAAAACCTGGGACACCCTGTATAATTAGTCCACGATAAATGTACTATTATAAATTGTTGTAGGCGGAATATACTAAATCATATCAGATGCAAGTACAATTGGAATGACAAATGTAAAATAACAGCGGAAATGAAGTATACTTACGTAAACTTTGGATGTAAGGACTTCTAAAAGGGACAATAAGCGATTGCCATCTCTTAAATCGATGAATAACTCTGTAATCGGTTCGTGTTGATTCTACGAAAAAACATGATTAGACATTAAATTCGCAATCCCACAGAATTACTAAAACAAATTTCGAGGTTTCATAATCGTTCAGACAATGTTCACGTATTTTAATATCGTTTCGAAAAGCATGTTTTATTACATTGCGTTTAGGAAGTAAAGAAACTTACCTTAAGCAGTTGTGAATTGATCCATTTCGTAAACGTTTTCTTCTGCACATCTTCTCGTTCGTCTGTAACACGCAAATACGTATGATTACATGACCTGTAACACGTATATCACTATTCATAAACATAAATTAAACTATAACATGTATAATGCACAATTTCTCTGTCACCTTTCGTAACGATATCGTAATTTGCAGCAATAAATTATAAAAACTACCTCTATTTATTCGCTTATATAAAATGTAATCTTTTTACAAGAAAAGATTATCGCAGTTTGATAGTTGAAATACATCCATATGGACATAATTACAGTAATAATTACATGAAAGAACTTCTCGAGGAAGTAGTATTTATCACATGTTGCTAACGTCTCAATAAATATAAAATATGTTGAATGTTTCTACAAAAATAAGAAGATTATGCTATATTAGATAATATAGCATAATCTTATATAGATATATAATATGCTATATATTATGCTATATATTATACTATATAATATGCTATATATTATTATTATGCTATAAGAAGATTATGTTATATTATTAGATTATGCTTATATTTATGCTACCATCCACTTTTATTTATGTCACTAAACCAGCTAACGTTATCGTTAACATAGCAGTGAATCGAATATTTAGGTGTCATATAATTCAGCATAATCGGTCTATGATAGAATGAGGTAATTACGCGATTTTCTCGCTGTATAGAAATGTATCAATATTTTTTATTATCCCTTTATTATCTATTATCTATATACTACTACTATAGAAGGGTAGCATGAAAGTACAATGACTTTAATTATTTTTATATGATAGAGGGACTTGTATATTAGACAATGACTAAAATGCTTTCTCTTAATTTTGCTATTACTTGAAATGACAAAAAAGGCTAAAAATACTCTCGTTTTTTAACTTTCTCATTTGAAAATATCTTTCGTAACTTATATGCATGCTGAAAATTGTATCAAAATCGGTTGGCATTGTTATGAGTTACAACAAATTGAAGATAGCAGAAAACACAGTTTCGTCACGATTTTAAGCCTAATAACTGTAAATAAATTGGCAGTCTTTTAAATTTCTCAACGCCTGTAGCTCGACTTTGGATTAATTTTACATGCTATAAATGAATCAACCAAATCCGCTTTCACCTGCTTTTAGTAGAAGTCAATAAATATAAAAAAGTAAATGGAATCGTTAATAAAAAAAGGAAAGTTATGGTATTTTCTACTCAATGTACACAAGATTATAGAAAACATTCCAGTATTGACCAAATCTTTGAATATAATTATGGTTTACGTAAAACATGCGATAACATAATCGACACACTTACAACAACTACGACAACAAATAACATTTATTTTGTTCCTTTTTGAATTGTTGTGTATTATTTCCTTTTTATGAAAATATGTATAATATTATTGTATTATTATATGTATATTATTATTCAATTCATGATATTCTTTCGCATCGATATTTTTTCTGTATACTGATATGTACATTAACGCAGTGTTATCCTATTAACATGTTATTTTATTTCACAATTGTTTCCATACATCTGCTCACCATTGTAATAACATTGTCTGAAATCGTACGTCATTTAATTTTGTAATTATTCGAACTAATTATTTTAGGTAATTATGAAATTCTTTTTCCGCTCCGTTTTCCGCACCAGTGGAATGATTGTTTTTTTCGCGATAATATTAAATGGATCTAGACAAAAATCTCTTATACTCGTCGTAACACAAAATGTTGCCATTTCTTCATGACGAATATAGTTGTCAAAACTAGCTAACTGATTAAGAATGATATGTGTATACTTTAAAATTCTTTATTAAATTATATATATTTTATAAAAGTGTTGTATTTAAATAAAATATTAAGGAAATCAAACGCACACAGTATAATTACTGTAACTTGTGCACTTTTCAAAGCAACTACAACAGCCAATCGATTAAGGATGAACACTTTAAGAAAAGAGTTCTGTTCAAAGCTAATTGTTGTAAAGATCTCTTAAGATAAAATCTTTTTGCTGCATATTGTTTTAAGGATTATTCTTTTTGTCATACTTGAACCAGAAAATAACAGAATAATTAGTTTGAAATGAACTAGATCAAATATTTACTCATTTTCATTAAAAATAAAATTTACCCAGATCTGATACAGATCTCTTAAAATAAAATCTTTTTTCTGCATATTGTTTTAAGGATTATTCTTTTTGTCATACTTGAACCAGAAAATAACAGAATAATTAGTTTGAAATGAACTAGATCAAATATTTACTCATTTTCATTAAAAATAAAATTTACCCAGATCTGATACAGATCTCTTAAAATAAAATCTTTTTTCTGCATATTGTTTTAAGGATTATTCTTTTTGTCATACTTGAACCAGAAAATAACAGAATAATTAGTTGGTAATGAACTATATCAAATATTTACTCATTTTCATTAAAAATAAAATTTACCCAGATCTGATACAGATCTCTTAAAATAAAATCTTTTTTCTGCATATTGTTTTAAGGATTATTCTTTTTGTCATACTTGAACCAGAAAATAACAGAATAATTAGTTTGAAATGAACTAGATCAAATATTTATTCATTTTTATTAAAAATAAAATTTACCCAGATCTGATACAGATCTCTTAAAATAAAATCTTTTTGCTGCATATTGTTTTAAGGATTATTCTTTTTGTCATACTTGAACCAGAAAATAACAGAATAATTAGTTGGTAATGAACTATATCAAATATTTACTCATTTTCATTAAAAATAAAATTTACCCAGATCTGATACAGATCTCTTAAAATAAAATCTTTTTTCTGCATATTGTTTTAAGGATTATTCTTTTTGTCATACTTGAACCAGAAAATAACAGAATAATTAGTTTGAAATGAACTAGATCAAATATTTATTCATTTTTATTAAAAATAAAATTTACCCAGATCTGATACAGATCTCTTAAAATAAAATCTTTTTGCTGCATATTGTTTTAAGGATTATTCTTTTTGTCATACTTGAACCAGAAAATAACAGAATAATTAGTTGGTAATGAACTATATCAATTATTTACTCATTTTCATTAAAAATAAAATTTACCCAGATCTGATACAATAGCAGATAGTGGCGTGGCGCCGTTTGGTAGCATCGTGTACCTAACAGCGATCGAAAATGCTGGGAAAGATAGCGGAATCATAGTTACCATCGTGCGTATTAAAAAAAAAACACGGGATATGTATTTGTATTTTTTAACCTCGATGGATATCAGGGAACATTTTATTTCCGCGTTAAACACGACAGATACACTATCATTCCGACACCGTCGCGAAATTATTGTCGATGTGGCAACGACGGCTCGTCATCTACCGCGTTGACACTCATTGACCCCGAGAGATGCAGGCAGTAAACTCTCAAAATTTAGGTCGACCAACAGAAAGCCATAAGCGGGGTTCTTAAATACCTGCGGCTCTCTATCGGCAAACACAAAATCCTTATTTCGTATTCGAAGATGATTACGTAGCCACAGTTTTACAATGACAAAGTGATGCTACACAGTATCTATTTATACCATAGCACTTTCATCAACGACCATTTGCAATTCACTGCAAAAGCTTTTTTAATATCGCCCAAATTAAGCAAGCTCGGTTATTCGATTTTTAGAAACTCGATTTGCGCACACTGATCACGATCAAACATGGAACAATGTCGCGATGGCACTGAGTGTCAATAAGTGATTCATTATTTTCCTAATCAGGTGGTTGTTTATACATTAAACTTAATATATGCTCAGCTCTGCCATAAATAGGACAAGACAACAGAAAAAAAATAAACGACCTACCTAATTCTAATTTGAAATATTTGAAAGATTAAGTTGTTTTATTGTACGAATATAAATTGTCGATGAGTTTTTTCTACGTTTGCCTGCTTTATTTTTAATTTTTTTTTTTAAATGCATTTTGTCCGATTCATAATACTGATATTAATCTCGTAAATACTGTTTTGTTATTCATTGTAAGTACATACAATATTACGTACTAATCTTAAATTACATAAATCTTCTATACAGCTTTAATAACACATTAATATCACATTTTATGTTATAGGTAACAGAGACACTAGTTGATGACCATTTTTCGATAAAAATTGTTTGAATTGTAAGCATTCGAGAAAAACAAGCTCGAAAAATAATGTTATTGCATAT